GCATGTGTGGCATGCATATCTTTTGCTGTCACACTCCTGATTAAAACCCTTCAGTGTCTTCCTGTTGCCAGAGGAATAAGTGTCCTTGACATGGTTTGCAGGGCCCTTGACCTTGGAGCGCAGACTGTTCCACTTGCCTCTCTTCACTCTGCTTCTGGCCTTCTACTTGCCCAGATCTGGTTGCTTCCAACACACTAAGCCCTTTGGATTCCCTCAGTTGGGCCTCAGCACATGCTGTTTGCAATGGATCTTTCCTCCCCCACCCCTTTCCACCCTCCTTTCTACCCCCCCCCTTTGACTCTCAGATTAAAGCTGTGTCCTCAGGGATGGATGCTCTCTTGATCTTACACCTGCCCTAGCAACCTCCTATTCCCTCAGCCTCTGTAGTTTCTCTTTCATGATTTTGATCTGATCATTCATGTTCATGTCTGTTTCCCAGACACAGGGAGCCCCAGGAAGGCACATTGGCTCCTTGTTTGTCCACAGCTATATTCTCTGCACAATATATAGTCTTCTATGGAGACACCGCCCAAAAAGTATCTGTGGGATGGAGGATTCTGGGAGAGATCCCTCAGATCTCTCGGTTCTAATGGGGACTGAAAACAAACCGTGGTGCTGAAGATGGAATGGGGCCGTATGCTTTACCTGAGATCGTTGCCTTGTGTCGCAGAGACAGACACAAGAGCACCTTCCTCCTACCTCTAACTAGATCAATGCTTCATGGTGACACACTACTCCCAAGCCATCAGCTTTTCTGAATAGTGCTGCTGTAATTTGGATGTGTTGAAGACTTGGTCTCCAGCCTGTGTTGCTCTTGTGGGGAGTGGCAGAACCTTCTGGGGGTGGGATGTAATGGAAAGAAGGCAGATTATTGGGGGCATAGCTGTAGAAGGAGATTGAGGCCCAAGCCTCTTCCTGTCTGTTATTATTTCCTCGACACACTGGGGAGCAGCCTGCTTTGCCTTGTATCCCTCACTGTTAGAAGGCTGCAGGTCCAATAGGACCAAGCAACCATGTGCTAAAACCCCAGAAAACATAAACTGAAATAACCATTCCTCTTATTAAGTTGATTATCCTGGGTATTTTTGTCACAGTATCAGTTATTGGTCACGGTACTATGTCGTACATCTCAGGCTTTGATCTTTTCTTCCTGTACAATGTTCCCAGGAGGCCCACTCCATCCCTCCCTGGCCTCGTGGCCTTTCCTGGTCATAGAGAAGATGCCTGTGGTTCTGGACTTGCAGTTCTTCTGACACATGATCCCATGTGGATGTGCCTCTGTTGTGTTGACAGCAATTTGTGACAGTTGGGAATTGATTGGTTATCTCCTTTAAAACTGTCCCAGACTGTCTCAAGGACTTACATGGTTGGTATGGACAATCAGCATTCAGTTCTCATCCTGGTCCCGGATCTGCTCTCACAGCTGACTTCCAGAATGGAGTGCTGAGCCACTAACTCTGAGCACAAGTAATCTGTGTATACAAACTCAGTACATTATTAACTGAAACTAAATATGCCTAGGGGAAGAATTCCCCTGGGAAGAACTGCCTGCTCTGAATTCCAATGCCTAGTGAGTGTGTCAATAACCCTGCTCTTCACTGGATGGTACTACCCAGGCACTCTTAAGCCACTGGGCCCCGCCCCAAGGTCCCAGGGATGGTATCTCAGTCCCTTTTCTGTTGCTATAACAAAATATTTGAGACTGGATAATGCAGAGGGGAGAGTTTATTTTAGCTCTTGGTTCTGGAAGCTGGACAGGTCATGGTGTTGGTTAGGACTTCATGCAGAAAAACAAGCATGGGTAAGGACAGGATGAAGCATGAGAGGCCATCCTCCATCCTGCTTTGCATCAACCAGCTCCATTATTAACCATCCAGTTCGGTGAGAGCAAAAACTCACTGGCATGAGAAAAGCTATAGTCTACTCACAGGGCTGTGGTCCACAGTGAAACTCTCCCACCGAGACCTCCATGCAGCACTATCTCACTAGGGACCAAGCATCCGCCCAAGTTTTGCTGGGGACAGACCATATTCCAGCCACTGTGGATGGCTGAGGTTCCCGGGGACATTACATGCCACTGCTGAGGTCTGGAGCTAGGCAGTGTCTGCGCTAGGAAGTGTCTGCAGATAGAGTGCCAGGAATAGCATGAGAGGAGAGCTGTAGAGGTGGACACTAGGAAGCCTGGCAAAGGCTTCATATCTGCCCATAGCCACCAGGGAAGATGGCCTCCGTGAACCATCTTACTTACTGAGGTAAAGAAAATGCCAGCACCTCCAGGAACTGGAAAGCCAAGGGCCTGGAACATCGCATGGAGGGAAGGTTTGCCGAGCTCTGCTGTTGTCCTGATGCCCCAGTTCTACACTCTGTTCATTCACAGGAGTCCCGTCTTCAGAGCCTGTCGTCTAGCTGGGGGAGAGAGACCTTCTAAACCTGGACTCCAGAGCATGCCCAGTGGCCCATATTGGACCATATCCACCACACACAATGGCAAAAGAGGCACTGCAGATCCACGCCTATGGATCTGTGGAAGTCCTCTAGACGAGTGATAGGAGAAAGCCACTATTAGGCTCTGTGGAGCCTCATCAACAACAAAAGCAATGGGCTTGGATGAGGGGTGGACTTCTCAAGTGACATCATTTCTACAGTAGCTCTGCTATCACCCTGGGACCGTATCTCAGACCCTGACTTCTATTCAGAACACAGTCAAAGTAGATATGGTTTATTTTCACTGAATCAGAAAACAAAACAAAAACGTGGTCAGCTCCCACTGATGCCTCCCAGTAGCAAGAGGGGAAATGGCTGTCATTTTACTTTTCCTTTCTGAAGTCCCTGGGCAGAGAGTGCTGGCCACAGGACAGGGTCTGAGGCCACCCAGGAGGCTGAATATGAGGACTGGGGGCAGGGAGAGGCTGGGGTGGCTGGAGAGGATGAAATGGTGTTATGGATACCTGTAACTCCCACAAGATGTTTACCCTGTTGAGTCCTATGGGTTCTGGCAACATGGGACTTTCCCCCTGGTGGGAGCACCCCACCCCCTACCGCAGCCACCCAAGCGGAATTCAAGGTTGGGCCCCTTGTAGTAGGGAGAACTCAGGACCTCTCCAAGTGCCTTGGTAATGGAGCCTTCCAATGCCCCTTTCCATTACATGTCTTTTTCTAACTCCAGGCTTTGCCCTCCCTCAAGTCTCTCTGCTTCCCTGACTGGCATAGGCATATTAAATTATTATATATTTCTCACTGATTGTTTTCCCCTAAACACAAGTCTCCCACTTCATGTCAAGGCTCTGAAGAATCAGCCCAGGGCAGGGCAGGGCAGGGCAGGGCATGTGGAAATAGTCTGGAGCCTGCTCCATCTCTGTATCAACCCCATGGCTCCTCAGCAGCTCCCGATAAATGCCGGCTACAAAGTGGGTGACGAGGCCTTCGCATCTATCTCGAAGGCCTTGGGGAAGTTAACAAAATTCATAACAAAGAGTTCTAGAAACAAAAGCAACTACCATTAGGGTTGTTTGTCATTATCAGAGGACTCTCCGAAGACTTTATGCAGGTGTGGCCCTGTCTAGAAAGATAGTCTCTCTAGGTTGGTTTTTGTGAAAGTAGAGAGAAATGTTAAGATCCCTCTGAGGAGCACGCCGGGGACTGGAGCCTGGGGTCCTGGAGAAGGCTGTGGGAGCCTTTCATAGAGTCAGGTCATGCTGGAATATGTTGTCCCTGTCACCACCTCCTGTAACTCACTCTATTTAGGCAATCTGTTACCAGCATGCCTTTCCCATGCATAGCCAGGCCCAAGTCCCCTGCATCTGACCCATCCTGGGATCCTGGGTGGCACCATCACTCCACAATGGACTCCATCTTTCAATGGACCCCTTTCCTTCCCAGCCCTTGGAATGTCTCTCCCATGGAAGACAAAACAGGTGATAGTTCAGAGGCCAAAGAATAATCTAGAAACAAAGACCAAGTCAGACAAAGCACACTGGGTTTCTATCCTGTGGAAATTCTGTTTCCATACTCAGATAAGGGCCTTCAGACTACAAGTAGCTTCCTGGCTATATGTATAGCAATGTTGATCAGTTCCCATCGACCTCCCCACCACCCTCAACAGCTCCAGGACTCTGGTCCCCTCATGGCAGGACCTAGATGTGCTAGGACCAACTCAACTTCCCAGCTGCTTCTTCCATAGAACTTCATTCCAATGGACAACCATAATCACAAGCAGGGGCTGCACGCCACAATTTTCTGCCCCATTGTGGCTTCCAACTACCCACCCCGCCCTCCCTCCCCACCCACCCTTACACCCCGATGCCTCAGGAACACAGGTAACCCATATTGCTTCGTTCTCATGTGTATTTATTGAGCGCCCACAGAGCCCGTGGTACTGTGCCTCAGTCAGGAGTCAGAGCCACAGTCTAGTCAAAACAAGATCAGAGCTAGTACACAGAATGTTTCATAGCTGCGTAACATCTGTTAAGGGATCGAGATGGGGAAAACTAATCACGAAACAAATTCCTATTCAAAAGCAACAGAACCTCCTCTGAGAGTAATATAGATTCTAGGCATACGCCCTCACACTCACGCATACACACGTGCACACACCCCTCAGAATGAACACCCAGGTGTGCCCACTTAGTTGTATATGCATGCATATACAGGTGTTTGTGGGCAGGTAAATTAATGTATATGCTGTCTGCACGCACACACACTTATACACACACACTCACACTCACACACACCACGGCACAGACAGAAAATCTGGCTTATGCTATCAAAGACACTAAGTCTCCAGGTTCTAGTGGAAGTAGTCTGTCCTAGATGTCTGCAGCATGCAAAACTTGGAAGATCCATAGTCAGTTTAGGAGGACAATGGGGGCACATGGGTATGCTTCCATCCTCGGAGCCCCCACCACAGCACAACAACAAAGCCTCTGTGAAGGGCTCCAGGGGCGGAGTGGAGGAGCTGGGAGCTCCCTGTCATGGTGGGACCTAGGAGAGCCCCAGCAAGTTCACCGATCTTCAAGGCAGAGTGGAAAGCTCTGGTTGTTGAGTGTGGCCCTCCTAACAGTATTCCTTGGGGCAGCGTGGCAGACTGAAGTGAGTGCCTCTTCTTGCTTGCTCTCTGCAGCTTCTCATATGTGCTAACGCATCTTGTAGTCATTAGATACAGATGTTTCACACAGCTGTCCCTTAAAATCCAAGTCTACTGTGAAATCAAGGTCTCGCTGTGAAGAAAGAGCAAAGGGGCCACAGTATGAGTCTGGGTAGGAGATCACAGCTCTTCCCAGGCATAGGAATTCTCCCGGAACCACAGGGACAGGCAGCAAAGGCATTTCTAGCTAAGGGGTCTCCGTGGACAGTCCTCAGGAATCCATTCTGGTGGCCTGTTATCCTCATAGGAAGGGCTCTGACATCTAACCTAAGCCTTCATGCCCACACATGAGAGCAGTCCTGGGATTTCTTTCCTCCAGGTGATAACTGAGGTCAGTAATGGCTCTGGCTCGACATCACCCTCAGTCACCCTGCAGACTTTCAGTGTCTGTGCAGATAGATACAGGGACACTTGAGAAAGGTCCCACCAGGCCAGCTGCCGAAATGCCCAACAAACACTCACTCTATACCAGGCACTTGCATTTCCTGGCTCAGCTCACCCTAACTGAGGCAGAGCCCATTTATACAACATCCTTTCTCAAAGGCTGTCCTGTGGGCTTCCAGGAGCTGTCCTCAAGGTTGGGTTCAGAGTCCAGAAAGCCTCTAGCCACTGGGGTTTGAAAGACTCGACATTGAGGTCGTCCAGTTAGGCCTGGTCATCTGCAAACACAGCTGCTGTCTGCCTCCCCAAGAAGCTTTTCCGTTTGGACACAAGACATTAGAGTGGGCAGGGGCAGGTGATTTCTGGGAGCCCCCTCAAACTCACCGCGTTCTTGGCATTTGGCTTCATGGATATGGTCCCGTAGATCTCCTCGCCCCTCCGGACAGTGAGGTAGTCTTCCAAGTAGAAGACGGTCTGCTTCCAGTGAGTGTAGGGAGCATCGGGGGCTGGGGAAGAACACCAGAAATGGAAGTCCAAAGAATCAGACATGAACAAAGTCAGCAACGAGAGGCCTCGGATCTGCCCAGAAGTGCTGAGCTTCCCATGGTGCAGGACTCAAGCCTGGCAAACAGGGGCCTGAGCATGACAGACAGAGCTGTGGCAGAGGCCTGCTCTTCCCCCACCCCCTCTGTCTTGCTAAACCCTTAGATCACATTCCTAAAGCTAGCTGCTAAGGTCCCTTCCCTTATTTGGCCACTTCATCCTCCCGAGGCTGACTATCAGAAGCCCCATAATTAAAAGTCCCCTTTGGCTAACCTAATTAGCATGCACAGTTAAAATTAAACAGCTCATCCCTACACTGGGTTCCCCTTTCCTTTTTTTGTCACCTGCCATTTGCCTATGCACCACACCTGCCTCCTCTCTATCCAGATACCATCCTTTCTCTCTCTGGGACAAATACCCCTGTCCCCTTTCTCTTGTGTCTTCCCCTTTCCCCTTGTCCTCTATCTCCTGTCTTTGTCTCTTTCTCCCTGCTCTTTGTCCCTCTGGGGAAAATAAATCTCCTTTGTGCTAAGAATTTGGCCTTGGGGTTTCATGTGCCACGACCACGCACCAACACTCAAGGGGGCGGGTGTCTAGTTCAAGCCTCAGAACTCCTGACTCAGGACCAAATGCCCTTCCTCCCATCCCAGCCCCAGCCTCACTGAGCTTGGATCTTAATGAGGGGTCAGAAAACAGGCAGCCTCTACCAGGGAGCATCTGGTAGCTAAAAGCCCCTCAGCAACCAATCCATTAGCATTAATGTGCCTCCCCCCAGGCTCCTCTATTAGTGCAGTAGCAACTCAGAGTGTAAGGTGTATAGAGCAGACCATCCTATCTATCTCCATCATTTGTAGATTTATGACATCATTTATGCAAACTCAGCAGCTCAACCATCACCCCTCCTTACTCCTCCATCCCTCAAATAGCTTCCCTTGCCTGGGAGTTTGCCCTGCTGCTGTACCAGCACCCTGGCCCTGCTCTGCTGTTGGGTTCCTGCTGTGCCTTCCCAACAGGACCAGAAAGAAGGGGATTCTTACTCCACGGATCACCCTTCCTGCATATTTTAAGGGCATCGTGATGCTTGCACCTTCCCACTGTTTGTCACTGGATCCCATGTAGTCTCTAGCTAACTGGGAGGGGCCCTGTGTCTTGGGATGCAGTCCTTTCCTTCAGTAGTGACTGCCTCTGGAGCACTCTCCTCCCATTCACTACATCCTCATCCTTCAAGGACAGCCTTCCTGGACCACTCCAACCTGGATCGGGTGCTCCAAAGGCATTCAGAATTAGTGTCATGACCATGTCTAGAGTGCCTCAGAATATAAACGCTTCTTCCTCACTTGTTTACATCCTCTGCAGGCTCCTAGAGGCCAGGCCAGCCTTGCCTTAGTGCTGCTTAGCTCTCACCAAATTCAATCTAGAAGCACCGAGTCAAGTGCCAGGTGGACACTGATAAGTGGGCAGTGTCAAGAGCCCAAAGCACAGTATCCTGGGATGTGTGATATGCCCAAAGATACTCAGCTGAGACCTACGGCTACAGAAGACTCACTTTAGGGTGAGTTCCTCTTGACTTAGACCCTTGTCTTCCCCCAGTGGACTTTTCTTCTTGCCTAAAACCAATGCTAGCAGCAACAAGACTTGGGAAGGGCATAAGGACCCTTCAAACACATTGCAGACTGTTTACATGGGAGTTTCTGGCTTGGGGGATTACCAGGAATCAATTGTGCACCTGCAGGAGGACTTGAAACTTACAACCATGGGGACCGAGTTGTTTGTTCCTCCCGGAGGTGTTGAGGACACCACCCGAAGTGAGCTCAGCTGTCATGCGCCAAGTCATGCAGTATGACCTCACGTATCCTTCAACCCCCCAAGGTCTATTTTAATGCTGGCAAAGTGGCCTCCCCCACCCCTTGTTTGCAGTGAGCTGGCTTGATCAAATGTCAGTGGTCAGGTAGAGACCAGGGCAGCCTTCAGTGTGTGCATTTGGAAATAAATCAATGAATACCCAAGGTCACCGGAAAGCACAGCCTGGGTGTCAGGACGGAGAAGGAGGGTTGAGATAGCACAGCCTGTGCTTGCAGACCCTGGGGCCTCAAGCCCAGCTAGCACTGACCCAGCCTACAATGCGTGCTGCTGTCTACACACCACCTGCTCTCAGCAGGCTCCCTGCCAATTACCTCTAAATAAACTGTCAAAAGACAAGTTCTGGCTGTGTATGCAGAATGCAAGGCTGGGAGTGTGACTGACAGCATGCTCGCCCCCATCTCTACCTCCGCCCACTCAGACAGGTGCCTCTCCTGTTCCTGAAGACCTTCAGCTGAGGGGATTGGAGCTGCCTCCTCTATCACCCAATCAGAGACGGTGAGGGTCTGAGCTTCGCTGGCTTAGCTCTGCTGTCCAGGGAGGCCAGCCGGCCTTCAGTGAATGGCCACAGAGCATTCTTGCCATCCCTGGGTGGAAGTGATATTGTCTCAAAAGATTTTCCCAACATCATTTCCATAGTGGAACCAGTAGCCATGGCCTAACTGTCTCAACGTGTTTTCTCATCTGGGTTTTCCACTATGTCCAGTAGAAACAGCAGAATTTAGAAGCTTGGTCGGCTTCTGCTTGTGTTTCTAATTCAATAACTCCGGGGAGGCGGTACACGGGGGGGGGGGGGGCGGGGGGCAGGCGTGACGACATATTATCTGCCCCTGTGGCTAAAGTGGCTGGCTTCTCTTGCATTCTCCTGGGTAGATGTGGTGAGAAGGACAAGAGGCCCTAGTTCTATATTCTTCTTTGCCATAGGTTTGCTCTGTGACCCTGGAAATCCTGCACCACCACGTGGGATAAAGGTCATGCTATTTATCCTCTGAGGTATTGTAAGGGAGAGAGGGATCACAAAGGGTGACCACACATCCCTCTGTGACTGGGGACACAGTTCATGTCTGTTCACCAAGCACAATCACCACTAGCTCACCCTTTTGCTTGCCAAAGAATCCTTAATTGAAAGCTGAATCATACGGACACCCCACTTACAACCTATTAGTTAGAACAAAACTGCATTAGGGGCCCGCTAAGCTGTGGCAGCTGATAGTGATTCGTTACATGAACTGGTGTGTAAGTACCCATCCATAAACTGAGGGATACCTGCAAAGGTACCCTGCCTCACTCTGGCACTCTGCTGGGTTATCTGGAGTGCTGCAACGCACAGGGTGGCTCTCATGCTATACCATGCATTCAGAGCTGTGAATGAGGTCTACAGCTCTCTTTATCAGTGACTAGGTTTTCCTCTCTCCCCAGACCCAACCTGCCATCCAGGATGCCACAGTTTTCAGTCATTATGACAACGAGCTCCTCTTGGGACTATTCTGGGCCCACACATCAGCCTAGCCTCCCTGGTTCTAGATTACTGATGCTTTTCAGTCTACATTTAGGCTGAGTATAACTAATACTGTCTGCAACGCTGCAAGTATAAGAACATGTATTCAAAGGTCTTCGGCTTCGGGTGTTGTGTGCCAGGTGTGGCTCTGGATTTGTCCAACAACACCCAGATGAACACAGCCTTGCATCCCCACCCCCACCCCTCCTGTTGATCCTACACCCTTAGAAGGCCATCAGGCAAGCAGTGGAGAGTACAGGCAGCACTTTGGGAACTATGACCTTGGGTGAGGAGTGGAAACATAGTGAGCCAGGAGAGCCATTGGGAGTGGCCTTTCGTGAAATTATCCTCCTGTGCTTTGAGGAAGAGAACTGGGCTTCCTGTTTCACTTCCTAAAGGTTAAGAAGTTAGTGTTTCTATGTAGGCTGTAAGTTTTCTAGCTATGTACTTAGAGCTGCATTGCCTACTGAGCTTCTTGGAAGTTAAAGACTGCACACAGAGGCTTCTTTAACCTGGAAAATGACTCAGTGCCATGGGATGACAAATCAGGAAAGAGGCTGCCTGAGTCCCACAAAGTCACAAGCTCAAGGGCATCTCTGGTGATTATCGTTCTACCTTGGAAAAACTGATATTTGAAGCCAGATTCCCTGAGGGCCACTGCCTTCCACCCACCTCACATCTTCATCTTTCCTGGACCGCATGACAGCATCAGATCCTCCCACCCTCACAGAGGATGAGTTCAAGGGGACAGGGACAGCTGTGCCCCTGGCCGGTAGAGCCTGGAACCTTGGATGCTTCTGCCTGATGCTGTAAAGCAGCCAGAACCATTAACAGCAGCATTTGCAAGCTACACAGTATGTGATTTGCTTTTTTGAGTGGACCCCCAGAGCTGGCTGCACTGAGTCTGAAATGGAAAACTCAGTGGGGAACCAGAAGGAAGGGCACCTGCCAGGGAGTGGAAGGGTGACTCCACAGAGTCCCACAACCAATGTCTTGCTTTTGCACATGCATGATTGCATGAAAACTCTTTTTACCATAGCCAGGACACAGGAGTACTTAATTTAGGATAGTGCCTTAGGAGCAGGACAGCTAGAAATGGGACATTTAGATAAAAATTTCAGAGATACTGATAGCATCTAAGCCACTAAGTTCTGAGGTGGGCTCGAAGGGAGCTCTTCTGTGAATACAAATTAGTTTATTTACATTTATTAATTATAAATATAACCATATATCATTTATTCATCATCCGTTTTAGCTGATATTTATATTTTAATTAAGTATCGCTCAATGACTCGTACATTTACATTCCAACAGAAATAATAATGAATTTGTTTCCAGCTACTCTTTGCATTGTAGTTAATAATTTAGTTCCATTCTAGTTAATAATTCATCTCCATCCTAGTTATTGGGTTAGGTGGTAAGTTCATGAGTACTCATTATATTAATAAACAAATAAGCCCAAAGTGAATCATGCATAGGTTTTCAAACTGTGATGGTATGTCTTGAACCAAACATTGAGATTTAACAAATTCTATGTACCCATGAGCCAAAATAAATAAATAAATAAATAAAATTACTCTGCCAGTGGCCAGAGTGAAAACTCTGCCAAGTTCCAAGTTCACATGGCCCAGTAAAGCCTTTGACAGACTAAACTGGTGCTAACCTCACGAGAGGGCTAAGAGACTAACAACCAACCACATTGTTTCCTCTGGTTCTTGTCAAGCAGAGTAAGAGTTTAGAGGCCAGATGAAGACTTGGTGAGTGCAGGGGGCGTGCCTTGGTGGAGAGACAAGCTTGCCCTACCAGAAGGGAGTCGGGCTCAGCTGATTTCTCAACTGTCTAGTTCAAGATGGTCTTTCCTGAAGGCAGTGCTTCTCAGACTTGAGTAGGAAGCCTGGCCACCTGGAGGTTTTGCCAAGACACAAGGATGGGCCACCCCGGAGTTTCTGAACTGGTGGTTGTAGGATGAGGCCTTCCTGGATCCGAGGGATGCTGAGGCTATTGTCCTCAGACTGTACTTTGAGAGTCACTGAACCCAGACACAGGAATCAAAGATTTTAGGCCCTACAAAAATCCTTCTTGAGCTCAGATGTGTGGAGTTCTGTTCAAACAAGAGGGAATATGGCTTGCTAATGGCACAAAGACAGAGGAGAGCCTTCCCCCTGGATTTACCATGAGCTTTCAGCTTGAAGGGTAATGGTAGGGGGATGGTCAACAGACAGGGGACTGAGCCTGGGGTTCAAGATACTTCAAGTCCTCACCTTTTTTCAGGAAGCCCAGAAGCAACAGATTTGAGTCTGGGCTGAGCTTTAACCTAGCCTCCTCCTCATGGGGCCATCAGAATGTCAGCCTTGCCACCACAGAGCCAGGGGATCAACTCTAGATAGAAGTTCAGTAGGCTGCTGGGACCCGTAGTAAATCACTTTAAGGAAAGATAAGCCTTAGTACGAGTCATGGGCCAGGATCCAGGCTTTAGACACCTATAGCTTTTTTCAGCGTGCCCTTGCCACTGGCTGTCACATCACCCACAGGGCAGACTCTGAGCTATCATCATTGGGAGATGGAAGAGACGGGGCTAAATGCCATGGCTCCCTCACGACCATCCTCCCCTCTCCATTGCTGGACTGTGTCCCCTTTATCCTTCCGGTTCAAGCAGAACCTGACATCCCCTCTCCAGACTGCTCCTACCCACTGGGCAAAAGAGCTCAGCTCACTTACTGACCCTTGAAGGAAGACAGCCTTCAGCAATGGCCCAGAGCAGGGCCAGGAGAGCTCCAGTCCAGCCTAGACGATACAGCCGGGGAGATACTAGTCTTTGCAGTCAGAGGCTGTGCACTGGATCTGGGAGAACACTTTCGGGATTTGGACAAGATTTGCTTGTCTGCTTGTTTGTTTGTTTGTTTGTTTGTTTGTTTTGAGACAAGACCTCACTCTGTAACCTAGCTGGTCTGGGACTGGCTGTGTAAACCAGGCTGGTCTCAAACGCACAGAGATCCTCACCTGGCCTGGTATTGACTATGCTTAAAAAGTCTCCTGCCTCCTGTCCACAGGTGAAAGGACCTCTCTGTCCCCAAGTATCTAAGAAATAAGTGGTTACATTCCCCCTGCCACTAGCACACCCACTCAGCCCCCAAAGGCACACTCACAGTCTCCAGGAACTCATGTGGAGGTCATTCAGCCTCTGGACCTCTGCCCTGGAAGCTCAAGCAGAGCACTACAGGAAGAAAGGGGTAACAGAAGCCCTCTGATAAAGAACCCTCCTGTTTCTGGGTCACATCCCAAAGGAACATGCATAAACAATAGCCTGGTGATGATGAAGTCTCCTGAGCCTAGGGTATGGGAGGGAGCTCACAGTGGCTGTGAGTGATAAGAGCTTGGGCATGCCCAGCAAGGAGGAAAAGTCTGAGGACCCACTAGAGGGCTAGGACCAAGCCATGGAGCCCTCCCCTGCCAGGCCCAAAGGAGGTGAAGCGTCTCTCAAAGCAGACTAGAAAAAGGACATGGCTTGAATGTATCTCCCAAAGCTCATGTGTTGGAAATGTGATCGTCAGTGAGTTCATCAATAGTGAGAACTGAAATCTTTTTTTGGGGGGTAAGGGGTAATTGGGCCTTGGGGTTCTATCCTCACGATATACAAATTTATTCATGGATGGATGAACCTGTGGGTTATCACGTGCCTAGTTACCTTTCCATTGCTGTGAGGAGACACCATGACCACAGCAACTCTTATGGAAGAAAGCATTTAGTTGGGGACGGGGTTGCTTACAGTTTCAGGGGTGAGTCCATGACCATCGTGGTGGAAAGTAGACAGTTATGGGGCTGGAACAGTAGCAGAGCTTTCCAACCTGATCCACAGATGGCAGACAGAGGGAAAGCCCTGGTGTGGGCTTTTGAAAGCTCAAAGTTCAATCTCCAGCAAGGCCACACCTCCTAACCCTTCCCCAAAAGTGTCACTCCCTGATGACTAAGCATTCAAATATATGAGCCTAAGGGGGCCATTCTTACTCAGCCACCACATCATAGGAGAGGGCTACTGTCCAGGAAAGCTCTTTCTGAGGCTTTCTTTGCCTTGCCTTTGGTACCCTCTGCCTTGTTATAAGGCAGCATGGAACCCTCATCAGATGCCAAGCTAATATCAGCACCATGTTTTTGGACTTGCCAACCTCCAGAACATTGAGCCAATAAATTTCTACTCTTTCTAAGTTACCCAGACTCAAATGATAGTGGAAGTCATCTTCTGGGAGCACAATCACAGGCTTAATGATGCATGGATGCAGCTGGGAAAAGCAGGAAGAAAGAGAGAGGCTGTTTCATAGCCCAGAGAGAGAGAGAGAGAGAGAGGGAGAGAGAGAGGGGTAGTCTTGCATAGAGGTTATCACCTCCCACTTGTGCATAGGTGATACAGGGGTCAGGACACCCCGTGCTGTTCTTGCCCCTCACACAGATTATTTCCACAAATTGCTAATCAGACAAACATATATTAAAAATCTCCAGAGGACAGGCACAGTGAGATGGATCAGCAGCCAGAGACCCTTGCCACACAAGCCTAATGACCTGAGTTTGGTCCCTGGAACCCACACAAAGAAGGAGAGAATCAACTCTGGCATGTCTTCTGACTCTCACATGTACAAGCCACTCCTCACACACATCATAACACACATTATAATATTAGTCAATTAAAATGTTCAAAAGGGAATCGCCTTACCCAGTCCATGTCTCCTACCTTGCCCTCACCAGTGTTAAGTAGGGCATCCTACATGAGCAGGGTGAAAGTGAATGGGGATGAGCCCTCCCTCATAATCGCAGCTTGTAAACCCAGGAATGGAGACAGCAAGACTTGGACTATTAGTCAAAACAATGTGGAGACATGATATTCTGAACTTCCAGGAATTGGCTCCATCTGACTGGCCTGTGGGCATGTTTATGAGGTATTTTCTTCATCATTAATCCACGTGGGGAGCCTCAGCCACCGTAGATGGTTACCATCCCTAGTCAGGTGTATCTGGGATATATAAAAAAGGAGGTAACCTGAGAATAAGCCAATAAGCAGGGTCCTTGGGTTCCTGTCTGTGTTCTTTCCTGGGCTTCCCTCAGTGATAAGCAGTACTCTGTAGGATTAAATAAACCCTTTCCTCCTCAAGTTGTTTTGACCATGGCGTTTATCACAGCAGCAGAGAGCAAACTAGAAGAGCTCCATACTTGTGTGCTCAAACAAGTGAGCACACAGGCACATTCAAACACAAGACACAGCTTGAGGTAGATCTAAGTAACTAAGCTAGCATGATGGTCTCCCTGAGCACTGTCCATGTTTGCACCTCCAGAGTGTCCTCCTTCACAGTGGTCCCTTTGGCCACAGTCTGCTCTTAGCCTCAAAAGTACCTCACGTTGTTTTGCAACAAGCTCAGCCTATATCCTGTAACTATACCGTGTCTCATAGAAACTCTTTTCTTAAAGACTGCAAGGCTAGAAGAACAAAGGGGAGGCCAGAGTGAGATCCTGCTGGCCCCCATGCCGGCTCTCAGCTCTAGAAATTCTACCCCTATCATGCAAGAGAGTGGGGGCTGCCTCCTCTCCTCAGAGGGAGATGCCAAATCACAGCCCCAACTGATGTCTGGCCAAGTTAAGGCCAGCCCTGGTTTTTACCTGTGAGCCTCAAGAAAGCATAGAGGGAAAGAGTGGGGAGCCCACCTGTAGAAAAGCCCATTTTCTTGTGGCACTTGGTAAATTCAATATTAAAATAGGTGACGAGGGCATGGACGTAGTCGTTGCGCTGTATCTGCAGGCAGAAGGCAGATGTGAAGCTCAGCTCTTCCGTCTTCACAGTGTAAATGTCCACTTCCTGCAACCCAGAGGAGAGAGAAGCCACAGGCTTACAACCTCTGGCATGCCAGGGCCCAGTAGGCTCACCCCTAGAGAAACTGAATTAGCCACTACTTTGGGGTGACTTACAGACACACCCACCGCCCTTCCAGCTACCTCCTCCAGTTTTTCTAAGGCGAAGGATGCTTGGGGAATGGTGCAAATGGAACTGAATCCAGATCTGAGCAGTAACCTGGTTCAGTAACCAGGAAGGGACAGCTGCTGGGGGAGGAGGAGAGAGGGGCTAAGAGTTGAGACGAGAGTGATCTACGTGACCACACATCACCAAAGCAAGTCAGAGTGGCTTCCAGTGGCGAACCCAGCACCGCTCCCTTCCCCTAGTCATTCACAAACTGTGGGTCCCCCCTGCTCAGCATCATTATTACCTGGAAGAAAACTCTGAGAGGGGCAAGGAGACTCATTCCCTAGCCCCCACCATGATGTTCGTTTGTTTGTTTGTATTCAAGTTCTCCAAGTCAAGAACACTAGGTGTTGCCTCAGGACTGAAGCATAAAGTGGCTGGAGGAAATTCCACTGACCATTTATAACAAGGCTGGACAGGTTTAAAAAATAAATAAGAGGGGGAAACATGAGATGAGAAGTCTCAGTTTGGACTGGGAAAGTAGAGCACAAAGAACTAATAATTCTCCCAAGTTCAGCTGGAGAGTGACTGAAAATCGATGTTGCATGGGGAGCAAGTGCAATGGAGAGCTGTTCTCCCTCTGTGTGCTGCTCTTCTCTGTGTGAAGGATGCTGAGTGACCTGCTGTTCCTTTATTGGCTGGTCTGAGGCAGGAAGCCCTACTGGGGACTTAAGAGGCATCCAGGCAGATGCCTGCCAGAGAAACTTAAAGAAGAACTTCCCTCGTGTTGGGGTGTATAGCAAGAACCACTACTTGGGGAATTTTGGGAGAGACAGTCAGACCCCTGTGTGGCTGGTGGCTCCAGGAAGTGGTGCAGATACCCAGCAACAAGAACCATGAAGAGACAGAATGGCACTAGGCAAAGGGCTCTTGTCTCTGTGTTTTTAGAATCATTAAAGGGAAAGGGGTTGCAAAAGTCATAGGACTTGTGAAAAAGGAATGGAGTCATGGAACCCAAGCTGATCTCAGTCCTGAGTGAGCCACCATGACCCTTGGAGAAGGGGAGATGCTCTCAGACTTACCAGGAAGAGGGCAGGTGTAGGGTTAGAAAGTGAAGCCCTGCCGTAGTTAGCAGCAAGCCGCTGGGCTGCAGGGTCAGATGGAGCCTTCTATGAGCTGGACACTACGTAGTTTCTAGAGCCCAAAGATGGGGAATGAGAACTAACAGGAGGGTGAACCTTGGGCTAGATCGGCCACCACAGACGGTATAAAGCATCCCATCCATCCTGACCTTTATGGACAGTCCAGGGATGCTGGTCCTCTGCCCACCACATAGTGCCCTCCTGGTCCAAGCATCTTCAGCAGCAGTGGAGAGATCACAGCTGTTTTCCTGACTTCCACCTCCAGGGAAAGCCAAATGTCTGCTCCAACTGACACGGAGGCCTTCACCCTCTTGCTGGGAATCCCAATTCTGCTGAGTTCTGTCTGCATTTAAGTCTGCTCTCCACCCCACTCCTTCAGCAGAGACCCTGCCTGGGAGAGCAGGCATTGTTCCAGGGTAGGAAACCACTTCAGAGGAGATGTCAGACTTTTTCAGTGCTCATGGTCCCTCCAGGCCACACTTCATCGGCAAGTTCCCTGGGCATTGCAGAGAATGCCTCGGGGAACCGAGCAGTGACGGATGGTGTACATAAGCACCTGGTGACTTTTCTGCCTCCTTCTCATGCAGGTCCTCTCACAGTCCTCACATCTTTCTCTAGATCCTCCATCCTCAGCCCCTGCCATTAGAATGGATCCTTTGGGGACCAGAGCTATATTTCATTGTCTTGTGTGTCCTTGGCAAATAATTGAGCACTAACAGCTGCTGGGCTCACCATCCTCCTAGAACAGGACCCCCAGCCTAGAATCCTTCCTTTCTTCCTTCCTTCCTTCCTTCCTTCCTTCCTTCCTTCCTTCCTTCCTTCCTTCCTTCCTGGGTTTTCTTTCCCAATCACCCACACACTCAAACAGTGTCACACTTGGTCTGCAGCCTTCAATGATTCCCCATGACTTATACCCAGATCTTGATAATTTCGCCATCTATTACTTCCCTTTCTCTTCTGTCACTTTCAAAACGCATGCACACACATATATAGATGCTCACATACACATAGATACACATACAGACATGCACAAACATGTATGCACACATTACTTAGTGGAAGCTTAAATAAGCTTCTACCCCACACCCTTTAGTTGATTCCAAAGCCATTAATTTGGGAGACTCTGCAGCCATCAATGTGTAACTGGCTTCACACTGGCTTTGCTCCAAGTGACACTCTGAATGAAGCCACCCTGCTGTGTGAAAATTGCATTTCATTGTCTAGCCTGACTATAGTTGCTTGTCTTTGGTCCTCCAGAGAAGTGGTTTTCCTCTATTCCCTAGGGTCTTCCAGTAAAGTAGCCCTTTGCCATCTTCCCCATTCTTTGGAGAAAATAAGACTTTTTATTTTATATTAATTAGCTGCAGAATTAACTTCTGGTAATGGAGTTCCAAAAAGCAGGAGTCAGAGATTCATTTTGTTTGGTTTGGTTTTTGCTTTTGAGACAGGGTCTTCTTACATAGACCAGGCTGGTCTCCAACTCATTAAATAGATGAGCCCGGCCTTGAACCCTGATTTCTGGCCTCTACCTCCCTAGTGCTGGGATCCCAGGTGTGTCCTACTATACCTGGCAGACACTTTCTTATCAGTAACTTTCCTTCAGGGTTACAGAATCCGAAACAGCTAGCTATCACAGTGAACAGCAGTCCACACATCTGAGCCACTGGTGGTTCAGATCCTCAAGTCCTTTTACCTCAAGTGCCCTCATGTTTCCCTCCACTAGCCTGTAAACCCAAGGCAAATCCTGATCTTGCCAATGTTCAGGATTTTTCTCCTGGCCCCAACAACCTGCTCTGGAGTCATTAGAGTTTTCCAGTGCTGAGTAACAAACTCGTATTCATGGTTACACACACACACACACACACACACCATGCAAATCATCTAGCAGGAATCCCATCTCCAGACAGCCTCAGACCATCCATCAACCAAATGTCATCTGTCATGTCTTGTGTTAGCTGACAGTGTCCCATAGGTCCTGGAGACATTTGCATTTTAATGGGGGCCTCTGAGGAAACAAAAGGCTTCCAGGCAAAGGGCAATGATGCTGTGCATTCATTGATGCCACAACAGTAGAGGTAGATGGGTCCCATCTGTGGGAATAGGATCAGACCTGGCTGGGCTTTGGGGACACAAAGGCCGTGGGCTCAGGTGCACGCCATAGTCCACAGCTCAGTCACAGTTATCCCCACTGATGCCCCAGAGCCCAAGCGCTATGGCTGGAAGGGTTCTTTGTTTCTCATTTGTACCCTGGAGACCTCAAGGAAATTCACTGCCTTGGCCTCAGGCAACCCCAGATAACACAAGGGTCTGCAGGGAAGGAGCTTCAGAAGAGCGCCTGGCCTCTGCTACCCCACCTCTCAATAATGTCACAAATAGATGTCTCCAGGCAGGAGTCTGGTCAAAACAGAGTCTTAATTATAATAAAGTGTCACACTCAGCAGTGTTAATAGCTATGAAAACAGCAATTAAGTGTGTGAAGAAGGGCAAGTGTTTTCCCAGAAGGCTCAGTGAGATGCTGCAGGGAGAGAGAGAGAGGTGTGGGAGCCAGCACGGCAGGGGCAGACAGTCCCCCTCCTAGCTCAGAAGATGCTAATAGGAAGAGGATGGCAGTGAGGCAGGGAAGGCGGGCAAAGGGGCATCATCGCAGAGTGGAGTCCCTGGTCCTAAGACATCTTCAGAACACTTCTGAGTTTGCAGGAGGAACAGATACGATGCCCATCCTTCCCCAGCCTCCTTGTCCAGTCTGGCTACTTGGCACACAGATACACCCAAGTACAGTCTGGTGGCCAAGGATCTTGCTGCCTAGGTACCCATCTAGAAGAAGGATAAGGAGGGAAAGGAAAAGAGATGATGGGGGCTGAGGGTGGGGGAGAACCCAGTCCATCTGTGAGGCCACCAGCAGGTGACACACAGGAAGGCAGTGTCCACATTGCAATGGGACTTTGTCAAGGACAGAAGGTAACTTAGTGGTGCCCCAGAACACTGATTTTATCTCCAAGCTAAAGCTGCTTCGTGCAGGTGCCTGGTGGCAGCAGTGATTGCTACATATTGTTTTGAGAAATTCAATAGCACTGGTTGTCTCCTATCTTTTCTGAAATCAACTAATAAATAAGTTAATCAATTTGTTTGTTTATTTTTGGTACAGGGGATTGAACTCTGCACCTGGTACATGCTAGGCAGGTGATCTACTGCCGAACTACTGATCTGAATTCTCCCATTCTTGCATTTGTTTTTGAGGAGACAGTTGCTCATGGAGGTCTCGACCTCTACCTTCTCCCTTAGCCTCCTGGAACACAGAGACTAGAGAACTCAGCCACAGCTCTTCTTCTGAATTTTGAGGGGTGTGTCATGCCCTGAGAGTGAGCTTCCCCCATTCTCCTTGCTCTTGTTCAGAGTTCCAAGAGGGAAAGGTCTCAGGGGTATGGGTTTATAGGAAGAGGTAGGCATATTTCCTCATAATGGCTCCCTGCCATTGTGCAGTAGGAAAATAATGAGCTAGGAGTACTGTAAGCCTGGGGATGAGAAGTCAAGACTCAGATCTGATGCCAAACCTCATAGGCAGGATGCTGCAAAGTGAGGCTCATCAGGTGATACCTTTCCCAAGTAGCCCTTCCCAAGGTCTGCAGTGGATCCCTACAGGGAGCATTCTTGGCGTGAGCAAACAGTAGCCTTTCAGAAACATCCCTTCAACTTTGGAGGCTATGAATTGGTCCTTACTTCTGCTAGAAAGGTTCCAAGCCACCAGTCCCAGAGAAGACAAGGATGCCCCAGTGTAATGAGAGAGACAGGTGGGCTGATGAGGCTTTCATAAGTAGTCATGGATTTATAACAGAAAGCGAACGTGCATCCTATGCAGTGGAAGTCTTTCAACCTAAACTACTACAAGTAGTCACATGTATCTGTTTCAGTGTCGTTTAGTACATAGGAGTGCTAAAACACAGAAGGGAAGGCTGAAAGGATCCAGCTGGCCTTGAACAGTGCTGCCTCCGGGGAGGAGCTAGGGTAGGAAAAGTGGCCGGGGTAGGTTCAATGCTTATGGTTAGTTACTATTTGTAACTAGGCATGTTTTGGGTAATCAAAATGCTGACTAGCCAGTCATCTACACTGGAGATGACTTACAAGAAAGGGTTGCAGAGCACAAACAAAGCAGGAGGCACCAGGACAAGGCTGGAGGCTCTGGCTATGCAAAGCTGACGCGCTTGGAGTGGCAGGATCATGAGGTCTGGGAGGTCTACCCCAAGGTGGACACTCAGCCCTAAATTGCCCTCCTGTCCCAAGTCCCCACATGCCTCCTGCCTCCCAGCAGTGTGCCAGGGACACCGCTTTGGGTCTCACTTCCAGCAGTGCCACTCTGGAGTCGTCTCCACAGTTCTGCTCAGTAAGAACATTAGCTTTTGACTTGTCACCAGGCTCTGACCAAAGCGGCCTCAGTGCCCTCGGTGGGGAGCTCTGCAGGAACTGACATTACGGGACTTTCCAGAGTGGCACAGCTGGGTCCTTTGCATACCCAGGCCCAACGCAGACGAATCTCCAGACCTTTATTAAACAGGCATTGGTCACCACTTGCTTTGGGTCCACGATGTCCACCAGAGGCTCCTTCATGGCAACGTCTCGGATACAGGTCATGTCAAAGCCATAGACGTTCTCCCACCCTGCGGAAACAGAGTGAGGCATGAAAGCAGGCAGTAGGACCCCCAGCTCAGCCAAGCTCCCCCTCCCCCACCCCTCCACCCCCCGTGCTCTAGCCCAGCCTGCCTACAACAAGGGGGCAGGGTGAAGCCTCTGTGCCCTTCCATCAGAGCCCTGAAAGTACCACTCGCCTACAAGGGGGACCTTGCAATGAACCAACAGCTGCTTCACACGGTGTCATTCACACCTCTAGAAAATGCAAGCCTCCCATTCTGTTAGATCAGCCAGAGGCTGTGAAACTTCTGGAAGTTCACACATCCAGAAGACAACAAGACTTCTTCTGGTATGTGCTTGCTGTCTCCTTTCCAGGCCATTTAGTTTCCTGTTTCTAGGCCTTTGCTCAAACTTCCTGTCCCCTAGGGGCCATCTGAACCTTTAATGCAACTGAGAAAAACACAGGTTCATAAATGAAACAGACTCAGGTTGGAGTCCCGGCATCATAGCTTATTCTCTGGGCACTGGGCAGACTCCTGCCCTGATCTCTCAGGACCTCAGCTTGCTCAGCTGGTGGATCCAGGAGGATGCTCACCTTACCCCTATGCCATTAGTCTGAAAAGCAAAAAGTACTCACTGAGGGTTCACTCCATAAGACATCATGTGTTGTGTGTGTGTGTGTGGGGGGGTAACCATTCTTATGGGACTCTGGGTGGCATGGGCTACTCATGAGATGCTTTGGGAAGAGGAAGAATTAGGGTACAGGAGCTGGTGAGTTGAGTCTAATGGCTTAAGACTTCAGTGATAGTGCTAATTCCTATTTCAGATTAGCAACCTTTGCCTAAGATATCCAACAACCCTTGATAGCACCTCCAGGTTATAGATGAGAAAACTGGCCCAGATAAGTTGACATCTGGATCACACACAAAGCCTGACCCAAAGTCACACACCAGCCCAGTGACACCAAATGGAGCTAAAAAAGGAGCCAAGCTGACTTCCTAACCCTTCAGCTGTGTCCCAAAGTAACAACAGCCAGGCATACAAAGTTCTTCCTCCCAAGAGGACAGCCTGGACCCAGGCTTTGGTCCCTGGAAAGCTGGATCTCATATATCTGTTTATTCTGCAGGGTTCATAAAAGCTTTGAAGTAAAGATGTTTTTGTCTAAAATCTTATTAAATTTTCTTTTAGTGTTCACCACACAAATGTTGCCTTGGGGAACTCAGGTCCTGTGTGTGTGTGTGTGTGTGTGTGTGTTGAAGAGAGTGGGTGTGGAAGAGGAAGGTGTGAATGGCCAATGAAAAGAATTGCTGTTCTTTTCTAAGGTACACAAAGATCTCTGGGGTTGGGGGTGGGGAGAAGCAGGCAGAGAGAACAATAATTTCCCCAGGGCGAGGGCTGGTGAGTTCCTGCTTGCAGAGACGATGCTAGGCATGGCTGCTGCTGAACTTCCCAGCTGACATTGTCGGGGCTGGGAAGTAGCTTAGCTGGTACAGAGCTTGTCTGTATGCTGAGGGACTGGCTTCCATCTCCAGCACTGCATAACACTAAGTGTGGTGGACACACCTCTGATTCTAGTGCTCAGAGCTGGAGGTGGGAAAACCAAGAATTCAAGGTCAGCCTTGGCTATAAAGTGAGTTCAAAGTTAGTCTGCCTCCAAAACATACATATATATACATACATACATACATACAGAGAGGACTGCCTTGTCGGATCTAGCAGCTATCGGTTCTCTTCCCAGAGGACACATGTGTACTGAGGCACACTTCACTGCCTTAGGATTAAACCCCTCCATTAAGAAGCCTGCAGCTGAGCACATTCTTTCAGTCCCTGTACCCCCTCCCTCCAGGAAAAGCTCTATGCAAATGTTCAACAAAATCCTCAGAGGATGGTTGATGGCCTGGGTGTTTGTTTGCTGTGTAACTTTACAAAGGCACGAGTTTCTCTAAGCCTTGGTGTCTTTTCCTTTAAAATGGAGCTGTTGGTGATAATGATGGCTATTCCCTTATGAGCATTGATGGGACACTATATACAAAGTTCCTGAGACAGTGCTAGGTGCAAAAAGGAGACCTTTACATGTGGCAGTTGTCATTATGTGGTTTGAGTGCCACGCTGAGCAGCCCTGTGCAGACCAAGCCTCTTCTCCTGTCTTATTTGTAAAAGGAAGGATTTGGCTCAGTGTTTGTGGGTTCTAGAATCATCTGGAATGCTTTTTAAAGTGCAGCTCTGGGTCTTTGACCAGACCTACTGGACCAGAATCTCTAGACAGGAGACTCAGGAGGCTGGACTTCTAAAGACATGGCCATTCCACCCAGAGTTGGAAAACCTTCATGTTGCTTGATTGTCTGAGGTTTTTTTTTTTTAGGTTGTAAATTGTGAACTTAAAGTTTCAAAGCATCAGTGAACCCTTTTCCAGCTACTGGGGACCCTTCCATCCATGTCCTTGGTACCCACAGAGTCTGGCACAGCACAGGCTTGCAGCTGGCTCTTTTCAAGCTGAAGGTATTCACAAATGGAATGTGTCTTTTGTTGCCAGTGCCTCATCCTCTAGTTACATTTACCGGGGCCATCTGATGTCTTATATCCCCAGCTAGACTGCCCCACTCAAGCCACTCAGTACCAGAGTATCCAGCACCGTCAGAAATGCATTTTCTTGGTTCTGCTGACCATTCGTTTCCCACTAGGCTCTCTTTTAGCAGAAGGGGAGGATGTGAGCCAGGCATGCCAATCTTTTATTGCAAGGACGTACTATTGTCCATTGAAGAACTGCCATTGCTTATCTAAAGTAACATTGGAGAGCCCCGAAAAATCTTTTGTTGATACATTAACATTAATTCTCAAACAGTGACATATCCCAATAAATGTTATTAAGGCAACCCAAAAGCCCGTGACGGCAGGCCCGTTTGACTGAAGCCCCTATTCCAAAAGCCTGCCAGAGGAAAAAGCCTCCTGTCTGAGTATAAATATCCTTTGTCTCTCTGTGTTGCCATTTAACACACAATGCCTGGCAGCAGTGAAAAATTATAAGATACTAGGAAAGGGCACACATACGACCTACCATCCAAAGAGAAGGGTTAGGGCAGACTCTGCCACAACTCAGATGTTAGAATTGCTCAACAGAGACTATAGAGTAACTATAACAAACACATTAAGGAATCCGGTGGGAAAAGTAAAGGATGTACAACAGATGGGTAGAAGGCTTCATCAGGGAGAGAGAAACATGCCTTTTAAAGGCCAATGAAATTCTCCAGATGAGAATCACACTATCAGAGAAGGGTTCCTGGGATCAGTCTGTTAGTGGAGTGGATAGACACATGGAGGAAATAATAAATAAATCTAAAGCTGGTTCATAAAAATAACCATAAATTAAGCACAGTGAGGAAAAGCATCTATAGTATGATACCAAACACATTTTTTTAATGAAGTTCCCTGAAGATGAGGAAAATCAGACAGAAACATACATATTAGTATGGATGATGAATGAGATAATCAATGCAAGCATTGTATTTAACCTCAATCAGGTCAGGATGCATCTGAGGGAAGCACACCCAGAGAAATCCAAACAGCCAAACAAGTACAAATTCCTGGGAAACCAACAGGCTCCACATTGCAAAGTGCAGCACCCGACCCTCCTCGCTCTGGCCCGAAAGATCTGAGTTTCTCTGTGAGGGCTGAAGGCCAGGACTACTGGCTCAGAATGCCTCCAGAGGAAAACAAGTCTCTCAAGGCCCCACATACGGCCTCACTGTGCAGAACGGAAGGTGTTTATAATATCCTCGTGCGTCCTAGGCTGCCAGTAGCAAAGTGAAAAATGGGGAAAGGACCTCATGTAAAAAAATGTGTAAGTCCGAGAGCAGAGCTCTGGATGTGGGGGGTATAGAGTGGAAAAAACCAAGTGGTCCCCAGCCCTCCAGCTACAGTAAAGCTGCCTCTACACCAGGCCTTCCCTCTGGCTCCCCACCCTCTTGCCCCTCAACTGGCTGGAGAGTCCAGTATTGGGTGATTTGTGGCAGGGATGGTCTGGAATATACAAGCTGACTTTGAGACTCTGTAAGTCTCTCCTGCAGTCGGCCATGGTTTTTACTGATTGCCCCTCTTTCAGATTCAAACACGCCTGCACATTCCTCTGAGCCAGTGCAGGTCAGGCACCTGGTCCTTTCTGCCAGGTTCCCTTTTAGCTGGTCAATAGAGTAAAGGCAGGGCCTGTTCTGTGCTGTGTGCTCATGGCTGAGACTGGGAGGCGAGGAGTGGGAGAGGGGAGAGGTGATGAGGAAAAAAAGCTTTCAACCTCAACAGTTTACTTTCTGTAGGGCTGGACCAGCCCCGCATTCACATTGCTCCTGTGGTTCTTGGGCCAATTAAAATTAGCCTGTAACTGTTCCCCTGGCAACCAGCAATCAAAAGCTGTTGTTTAAACACGTTTGTCTAAACAGGCCTGTTTCCTTTAGCTAAAAATGTGTCTTTGAAAGAAAAGCGTTTAAGTAGAAAACGTAACCGTATCCTACATAGAATATAAACGTAAGAATCTTGTTCTTTGGGAATTTAGAGGTTTTGATGTTGTTTCTTTGTTTTGTTTTGGTTTGGTTTTTTGCTACGGTGCTGGCGGTTGGAGCCAAGTAGGCACCCTACCACAGAACTATAGCCTCAGCCTTTTTAAAAAGTACCCCAAAGTAAACACTTTATAAAGAAAAAAAAATGGGGCCTGACTTATGGTTTTGTTCAGTGTTTGTTTGTTTGATTGTTAATTTGTTTTTCTCTTTGCCTGAGCTGTAAAGGCAGCAATAGGAACTGCAAGAATAAATTGCATGCTCTCCAGTTCTGGGCTGGCTGTCCCCTAAGTAGCAGCCACTGTCCTTTCCTCTAATGGGTTCAGAATTGCTCATTGCAATGTGACTGCTCCAAGGGCTCCCAACAGGTTCCAGGGAGGGAGGTGGGGAGGAGGAGACTTTGTTCTGGAAACTAGAAGGCAGCTCTTTACAAGAGCTTTCTTAGGAGCTCGATAAATATTTAAGTAGATGTGTGTGAAGAGTGTGCTGGAATGTTCTCTCCACAATGTTGTTCTGGGGTAAGCTGCATTCTATTTACACCATGCTTGGTTCTGTTCACTGCTCAGTGGCTTCTTCTCCTTCAGAGGCTAGACCTAGCTTGTTCCTACATGCTCCACAAACAGTGGTGTTCTTTGGCATACATCATCTAATTTAGTCCTTGCAAATCACTGGGACTGAGGGCATCACCTCCCACTGGGGCTCAAAGTCAGGTGACACACTCAGGGTTACTCGGTCAGTAAATGGCAAAGCCTGCATTTCAAACCCTGGGCTTGGCAGGGGTCAAAGCGTTCACCCAAGTCACCTCTGCAGGTTAGAGCTCCTGCCTCTTGCTCCAGGTCTGAGTGCTGTTTAAGGGACTCTTCACTCAGTTGTCATGTGCAGACCCAGGTGACATGGCCATCTCTCACCTGACAGAAATTCCACCAAACACCAGGCCCATGCCACTAAGAAATATAACTTTTAAAATGAAATAAAATGGTCCTTGAGATCCAGATAAAATATTGCCAAAGGTGGCTTTTAAAATTTGTTTTTGTCTTGTTTTATTTAAGACTGGTCCTTATTCTGTAGCCCAGGCTGGTATTGAACTTGAGTTAATCCTCTGGTCTCGGCCTCTCAAATGCTGGGATTACAGAAATGGGCTACCACATTTGCTTTTGTTTGGAGTTGTGTAGAGAGAGAAATATGGGGTCTTGCTGTGTAGCCCAGGCTAGCTTCAAACTTATGATCTTCTTACTTTGGCTCACGTAGAGCCATTTGGCCCAAGAGAAGACACTATGGACATATATTTACATATGAGCCTCTGACACACACACACACACACACACACACACACACAATCTGACTGAAAGTCTCTACTCCTCCCCACATACCCTTAAAGGAACCTCAAAGAAGAATCCATATTTTACCTACTGTGACGTAGAGTCACAGTGATTTCGACAGATTTGATAGGCAGGAGGCATGTTTCAAAATGGTCGGCTTGATGTGAGACTCCAAGTCACCTGTCCTGCTGTTCTCTGCACAAACACGACTCTTGCTGCCCCTGTCCCACACTCCATTCCCAGATGTGTTTGTTACCCTTTACCAGCTACACTGTTCATTTATTCTCTGTAGACCCCCCCCTACCCTTGGGGATAGTGAGAAAGACTCCATAGAATAACCCAGTAGGGTCACAGATAAACTCTCCCAGGACACTAACTGTCCACCCTGAAGTTTCTCTCACATGACCCCGGTACACAACAGATATTCAACAAAAAACCGTAAGGTGACTTACAGTGGATTTTGAAGTCCTTGTACTGTCTGTCTTCAATTGCTACCACGTATAAAGCTGCCCGGTCTGGAAACATAAGCCCTCCAGGTTTCTGTTGATGAATTGTGGGGAAATGGGTCTCGTAATCTATTCACCTGACAAAGACATCACATTTTGAACTGCACATAGAGTCACCAGACAAGCACCCCCTTGCCAGCATTTCTCACTTAGTGGACGGACAGCTTGGCTGGACATGGCAGTAGCATGCCCTAAGCTGGGGGAGCCCAGGTGGACAGAGGCGGGACAGAGAACCAGCCTGTGGCTCAGCAAAGCCACAGCAAACAGTACCCCTGGCTCTCTGCCGGCCCTAACCAGAAGAAATGGGTCTCTGCTCTACTATGGTTATACATTCTGACAGCTGAGCGTGTTGGACCAGGGTTGATCACTTGTTCCCTTGAAGCAGTTGTGCTTTGAAGAGAGGGCCACGAGACCGTGATCTTCTAGTCCCTTCCTCTCTGCAATTCTCATGGTCCTCCCAGGTGGGAGGCTACGGGAAATGTGGCAAGACAGCCACCAAAGCAATAAGGGGAGAGCATGAGGGCCACTTACCAACCACTTGTCCCTGGCAAAGATCACCGTGTTGAGCATGGACTCATAGAACAGGCAGTAGCCCATCCACTCGCTGATGATGATGTCCACCTTCTCCACTGGCAGCTCCACCTCCTCCACCTTGCCCTTAAATATGGTAATGACTAGAAAACAAGAACCCAGAGCCATGCTGTGCCAGGACCCCTCGGTACCATGGGCCCCTTGCTGCAGGGCTGCTGACTTTTGAGCTCCGCTCTCATCTGGCTTTAAGGGTGTGACTTACCTTACTCTTCATCACAGGAACTTGAGTGTGTTCCTCATCAAAGGTACTGGATAGTTACTATGCACTTGACTCCGTGCTAAGCCAGCAGAATACACTGTGTCCTGTAATCTGCCCTAAGAGCTAAGCATACTATTATTATCACCACCTTCTCTTACAGCTGAGGAAACTGAGGTCTCAAGGTGGGACGATGGCAGGAGAAACGGAGTCCAGGTCAGATAGAACGGGACTGTAGCTGCCCTACTGTGCCCTCCCTGCTCCCTATGAGGTTACCATGACAACTAAGACTTGAACTGAGTAAAGGACACTGTACACCTTGCTCTTACATCTGGGCACAGCCAATGCCCTGTATTCAGTGGGTGCCCATCAAATGTCTGTGACAGAAGCAAATTGGTGTTTTGACAAGACCGCAGACTCAGCACAGACAGAGAAACCCAGGGAGGGTTAAATGCTGGGTCTTCTAATTAGCTGTCTGACTTTACACACATCACATCACATCACATTGACCATGCAATTCCCATCCAATTCCCCGAAGAATACCAGAGAGCATGAGGTCTTTGTCAGGCTGACTGCACTGAGGAAATGAAACAATACCCAGGAAGTGCCAGGCCTGTAGCCGAGGCTCAACAGAAGGTAGACAGAGCTGACATGTCTGTTCTTTAACAACGTACGGAGAAGAGAAAGAGTTAAAGCCCCTGTGAGGAGTGACTTCGCAGCCCACTGGAGCAGGACAATGGTCTTAGTTGAGTTTTTGATCAGGTGACCCAGAAGGAGACATAATTTGTGTATTCTTTGATGCACAGATGGAGCGAAAAAGTGACAGTAGGGTAGGATGCTGTGTCAGTTTCCTGGTCCCTTCTTAGCATCCTGCTAAAAGGTCACACACGCTTATGCTCTGAGACCCTCCTTCTGTGACAGCTCCTGGAAAAATCACGCTAAGGAAACTGAACTGAAGCCCAGACCTCAGCATCACAAACCAAATAAACTATGTCTGCACTGAATCCAAGGCAATTAATTTGGACTGGAGGCTCCTGTACAGCAAAGGGCACACAGGCCAAGGCCTTTGTTTAGCACTTTCACAGTTAAGGGCGCCATCAACAGCTCCTGATGGAGGCTCCTTCGCCACTTCCTGGTTAATCAAGGCTTAATCAGATTTTATAAGTGTCAGACACTACTCACATTCACCCAACCTCATCACCGACCACAGAGGCCCATGTGCCCTGCCTGGTCACCATTTGTGACCCCCTATCCCCGAGAAGGAAGAGCCAAGTAAGGCCAGACTTTTCCAAAAAATTTGGAACAAGTGGGAGAGGCCAATGTCAAGCCTGCGGTTTGGGGGAACCTGAGACCACAAAGAAAGAAATCAACCAAGAGAAGGGCCCCATGGCACACCTTGAGAATTCACAAGGGGACAAAAGCAAGGGCTTTGGAAAGTGCCCACATAGTCCCTAATTTATTTCTCACTCTGGAAAAGAGCCAAAAAGCACACTCATGCTCTTCTGCCTAACTAACAGCTTGCAAAGCCTGGCTTGTTTATTTTCGTCAACAGTTTTCCGCCGTCTATAGCTTCCTTTTTGTATTTTCTTTGTTCACCGCCTAACGCTCACATGCAGCTGTACAGCTTTGGCTTACTCTGCTGTCTTCTGATATGGCATGGCCTCCATTTGGCCCTAGATCAGACTCCCTCCTGCCTCTGGGATGCTATAGCCCCACTCTGGGTGGTTAATGCAAGGCTCCAGCTAGGGTGACCTCAGAAATCCTTCAAGAAGGAAATGGCTTAAGGAAGAAAGGGCTTATAGTTGAGGCCATAGCCCACTTACAGGGAGTCATGACAGCAGGAACGTGAGGCAGCTGGTTACCCTGCATCAGAGAGGTGGGCGCTGGTTTTTAGTTCCTTTGCTCTTTTTAGTCAGTGCTGGATCCTGGCCCTCAGGATGGTGCTGCCCACGCTTAGGATGGGTCTTCCCAGGTCAATTAATCTAATGTAGAAACTCCCTCATAGCTATGCCCAGAGATTGTCTCCTAAATCAAGTTGACAGTATCAACCATCACCCATGCATGAATGCATGTATGTAATATGTGTATTATCTATCAATCTCTATGTTCTATCTCAGCTGTCTACCTATCTGCATACTTACTGTAGTATCTATTATAACCCATACCAATCAGAATACAGTAGCTAATGAATAAGAAGGCCAACACTGGGAACCAGGGAACAGGGAAATCACCCAAGGAATATTCCATACACATGTTTATTAGACTAGACTAAAAGTGCATATCATCTGTTTTCCATGGCTTCATCATCAACTTGAGTGGATTCAGAATCAACATGGAACCACACCTCTAGGTGTGTCTAGGAGGATGTTTCCAGAATTGTTTAAGGAAGCAGATAGGCCAGCCTGAATGTGGGCAGTCCTGTCCTATGGACTGGGTTCCCTAATGGACGGCAGGGAGAAAGATCATCAGCGTTCATCGCCCTCTGCTTCCCGACTGCAGAAGCAAATGACCGTATTCTACCTCCATGCCTTCCCTGCCCTGATGGAAGTCATCCTGCAAGTGTGAGCTATAAACCCTTTCCTCCTTAAGTTGCTTGCATCAGGGACCTTGTCACAACTGTGAGGAAAGTAACCAGACCCATATCTAAGTCACCAGAGACACCGTCTTGATGTCCGTAGCTAACACCTGTAACAACTCAATATCCATGCTCAGTTTCACAAGCAGCAAGACATGGCCTCCTATGACAGGGTGTATGTTGGCTGCTTGGGGCTATTGGATAGCATCGAGCATGAGGCTGGCTCACAGGACTGTGAGCTCTATTTCCCTTCTCCACAGAGAAGTCTTTTGAGGGGTAGAATCTACTGTTCCCAAGACTCAGAACAGCTGGACTAAGCCCTGCTTGCCCAGTCTGGACCCTCCATCACCAGGGCAGCATCAGCTCAAGGTGGCTTTGAGGTCGCTATCTGGAGCTGTGTTTCCAGGCCATAAGTATGATGGAAAGTTTGTTTGACTAGCTGTGACAGGATCCTGGCTCATAAATTTTACCGTGATTAATCATAGCTAAATGTACCACAGGGAGCAATAGGTTCTAACTTGGGAGCTTTTACCCTGTGGCATCAGTAGGAACATTAGACAACCAGAATTCAGTTGTTGTTGCTTTTAATGGGATTTTTTCTCCTTTTTTATTTGAGTGGTTATTACAAAGTGAATTAGGCCAGTCTAACCTGATTTGGGATTTCAATGTATCCATCAAAATCAGATGGCCCCATAAGGCTTGGAGTTCATGGTCTGCCATTTAATTTTATTTTAATTATCTATTAGTTTTTATTTGTATTTACTTACTGTTTTGGTTTTTAGATAGGATCTCATACTGAAGCCATGCTGGTCTGAAACTCACTATGTATCCTGATGAGCCTCAAACTAGAATGAAACCTCCTGTCTTTCAGCCTTGTAAGTGCTGGACTATGGGTATGAGCCATCTTGCTCTTCCAAGAGCTAATTCTGTCCCATGGAAAAGTGAGCAGTAAGGTCATATTCCTCGGGACAGGAAATGCATTATCAGTTACAAAGCCCCCAGATCTGTCACTGTAACCACACCAGAATCCCTCTCTCTGCTTACTCTCCTGTTTTTGTAAGACCTATAGTCACCATTATCCTGCTCAGGCATCAGCCCATGATGCCCTCTCTGAGTGGCCTATCTTGGCTTCCCGTTGCCAATATCTGGCAGAGCACTAGATTCTCCACAGACATTCTAAACTTCTTCTCACATGGAAGGATAGATGAATAAGCAGTTAAAAACAAACAAACAAACCTGGGCATTGATTTAAAAGACCAAAGAACTGCAAAGCAGTCCCAATTATACTAGTAAGAAAAAATTATCAACATTTAAAAAGCAGTTTGAAGAGTGATTTCACATGAACTTAAGCATTCTCCCAGAGACAATGTGGCTGCTTTTATCTGTCTACTAAGAGACCTGGGGTCTAGAAGAATCAAGTTATAGAGCCAAAACCAGGCCCACCCGGTCACCTCAGCAGCTCACATAGCCTCACTGGGGCTCCTGTCCCTACCTTGTGAATGTAAGATTGTTTCTAATTTTCCACCACCAGGAACAGTGTGTTCATTGAGCAAATACTTGAGAGGTGGAAAGGAAAGAAACTGAGAAGGGAAAGTCTGTTCTGTCCTTCTCAAGCCTTCTCATGCAAGCAAATGAAGGCAAGACAGAATAAAGGTGGGCAGTGAGGCTTGGTCAGATCTACCCATCTTCATTAGCATCAACCCATACCTTGCCTCAGTGGCCTGTGTTCTCCAGAGCCCAGGGACTCAATAAATCTCTCTCACAGAATCAGAGTCTGCATACCACAGTGCATTGGTGATGGAGACAGAAACATCAGAGGTTTTGTCTGCATATCCAGAGGCTCTGCACCATCTGATTGTATTATAAGTGATGCTGGCAGGTCCTGGGTGCCCCGCAGCCCCAGTGTACTGCATATAGCAAAGTGGTACCCTCTCCTGGTCCAAATACCTATTCGCCTGAGAACCGAGAGCTTGAGCGTCCACCCCTCTCCTGAAGCATCTCTGCAGGACTTGGGGGACCAGCTGCTAAACTGGGGCTCTGAAGACTCTTTGACTTTAGCCAGAGGACTTTTCTACCTGGGGACAGCACCCACATAATGCTGTCTCCATCAAAGCCATCTGATGATTTCTATCTATCCTAAGTCATCCCTGAACACAGAGAAGTACTGGGAGGGTCTAATCTGCTTAACTCCCAACACACTGGCCAAGGGGTTGTGACTGTGCGGCCCTGGCCCACACGGCTATTAAGAAAGAAATTATACCCGGGAGAATGGCTTCCACTTGGCTTGGATGTTCAGAATATCATTCCCGGGT